CACCACAGTCTACTACAAAAAACAGTGTCCCCCCAGTTATACCCATTTCAATTCACACTGCCCCATTTCCCACAAAATCAACATAGTAAAAGCTCTCACTAAAAGAATCTATACCCACTGTTCGCTCGATATATTTAAAGAAATTGAGAAAAATCTCATCATATCGCACCTCTCCATAGCATCGTTTCCGCTTGAATTCATCAATAGACATTCATATACACCTGGCCCCTCCAACCAACCTAAAATTTACAGATCATTATGTTTCCTTCCCTACTCCCCCTCCTCAGCCGACATAGCCAGAAGCCTTAAAGCATACGGTATCCGCACCTTATATAAAAACTCCTCCAACCTGCTCACATCCCTCCGTCACCCATATACTAAATCGCATGCCCCCCCCCTGATCCCCTCCATTCTGTTGGCGCGGTCTACTCTGTCTCGTGTGAGCAATGCTCTGCCACATACGTTGGCGAGACAGGTAGATCCGTCGCCATCAGAATGTCTGAGCATTCTAGAAACATCTCCAACCAAGACACCAGGTCCCTCCTTTACCAGCACACACTCAATACTGGCCATACATTCAACACCAACCACCCCACCATACATTACAGACGCATTCATAACCAGCACCAGCGATTAGTTCTCGAATCCATAGAATCCCACAGACATAACAGCATCAACCGTAAAATAGATCTTCCTGATGCCTATCGTGCTCTCCTGGCCTTGCAGTAATAACCATAACACGATAGCCCGATATCAACATTTCCTAAAATTCTTCGAAATATCGCATATCCTATAATTTACGTTAACATATTCCTCTATAGACTCAAACTCCAAATATACAAATGCCCTATTTGCCTACTATCTCTTTAATTACAATATTCATAACAAATGAAAAATCCCCATTTGCATAGCACATTCCGCTAATATGTAAATAATCATGTGTATATACTCTCTTTCTAGACACATTACCTACGTTATAGTGTCACGTCTACCACGCCTGTAGAAGGGTATTTTGCCCGAAAGCTCGCACCGTTATAATTGTCTAATAAAGAAACTTTTCTTCTTTTATTCCCTTTTATCGCATAAATATTACCGAGAAGATTATAACTGTCTTTAAATCAATGTTTAGTTGATTTCTGTTCCACCAGATGGCGCTCTGCCTTCTGAAAAGCACATGTGCTCCTGGTCAGGATATGTCTTTTCTATTTTAATATTTAATATGTGAAAAGAAACATACCATTGTCAAAAATAATAATAATTAATATTACAAATTTTGATAAGATATACGTATAATGTAAATTCGAAATTATTATAGACGCGTATGATTCTTTTAAAAATTAAACAATTTATAATTGTTTGTAATTCTGCTGTCCTCAAAGCTTATGTCCATAGTTCATCTAAAATACCCATTCGAAGAGTTTAGCATCAATATCACTATAAAAGGAAGATCGAAAAATACAATTATAACAGCGGTATGGTAGATTAAACTGGAGAAAACGCTGGGAGGGTTTACCATTGATAAACCAGGCCCTACTATTAATTTTTCAATTGCAGTAAAGAGCAGTAGAAAATTAGTGTAATTCAAAAAGAATCATATTGCCACGTGGAATATTAGGGAAGATCAACTTCGGGATGAGACAACAATTTATTTCAGGCAAGAACAAACTATGAGTAATAAACAAAAGATAAGCAAAAGAGGGAAGTGTACAGAGTATAGTAAAATATAAAATTAGAAAATAATACTCTGCTAATAAAATAATAAATAATTTGTTACAATACGAATAAAAAAGTTTATATTTCGTATACATTGAAATATGAAACTTCCTTGAAATTTTGCCCATGAGTATATTATCTTTAAAAAAAAAAGGTATAATGTATTTATCTATATATATAAAATTGAAAGTCTGTCTGTTTGTCTGTCTGTTTGTTTGTACTCTATAGATTCAAAAACCATACATCCAATCGCCGTGAAATTTTGGGATATTATTAGGTATATCACCGGGAAGGTTTTTGAAAAATAATTACATGAATATCTTGAATATCCTTAGAGTTATATGCAGATTTGTATATTTAACTCGCAAGCAGCCACCCCATTGTGACGATGATAACAAGTTTTCTTATCACTAAGTTTGTTATCTTAAATATTATTTATCAAAAGTAAGATTATCTCAGGATGACACGGCAATGTGACACGGGAAAAAATGTTCACTAGATAAAACTATGATTTTCTATATGATATAAAAAGCCAACAATGAAGAGTGAATCTAATATAAAAAGCCAACAATGAAGAATGAATGTAAGATAAAAAGCCAACAATGAAGAGTGAATGTAATATAAAAAGCCAACAATGAAGAATGAATGTAAGATAAAAAGCCAACAATGAAGAGTAAATCTCTATATCTCTATATATATATAAAAGTCAATTTCTGTCTGTCTGTCTGTTTCGCGATAAACTCAAAACTACTGAACCAATTGGTACCAAATTTTGCATGTCGCTTTTTATAAACCTGAGGAAAATTTTCGGATGCATTTTGATTAGTATTTTTGGCTATTTCTTTTTTTCATTTGAAGAACTTTTTTTTACGCGGACTAATCCGGAATGGAATGAATACCTAAATATGGCCATTTTTTTAAGCATCGGTGGTTCAGTGGTAGAATGCTCGCCTGCCACGCGGGCGGCCCGGGTTCGATTCCCGGCCGATGCATTTTTATTTTTACAATTTTTAAAACTCATTTATATTATCTTATATATATAAAATTGAATGTCTGTCTGTACTCTATAGATTCAAAAACCATACATCAAATCGCCGTGAAATTTTGGGATATTATTAGGTATATCACCGGGAAGGTTTTTGAAAAATAATTTCATGAATATCTTGAATATCCTTAGATTTATTTGCAGATTTGTAGATTTAACTCGCAAGCAGCGCCCCCATTGTGACGATGATAACAAGTTTTTTTATCTATAAGTTTTATTATCACTAAGTTTATTATTTTAAAGATTATTTATCAAAAGTAAGATTATCTCAGGATGACATGGCAATTTATTTGAGACAAGAATAATGATACAATTCCAAGGCAAAGATACTATTCCTTTAACTTCCAATTACCGAGGGAACCAATTAATATTGATTTTATTCAACTTATCGAGTATTTCTCAAGGGACCGGGAAAACATGTTCACTAGATAAAACTATGATTTTCTAATGTAGAAAATTAGGAAAGACAAAATTCAGGATGACAAGGCACACAGGGACCGGGAAAAAATGTTCACTTTATCGAGAGATTCAAATTTACGAGTTTCAAATTATCAAAATATATCTTTTTTTATTTTTTAATAAGTTTTTAGAGAATTGTTTTAACAAATGTTCGCTAGACAAACCTTTACTCAGGTAAAACCCCGGGCGAAGCCGAGTACGTTTTATAAGTTTAAAGAGAATTGTTTTAACAAATGTTCGTTAGACAAACATTCACTCGGGTAAAACCAGGGCGAAGCCGGGCACATCCGCTAGTAATACAATATAATACGGCTTGTGATTGTAAAACGACATTTGAAAATTATCCCGCATGTGTTTCTTTTGAACGAAAAATCAGATTTTATTCCAAGGAGAAACAACGATCATTTCCAACCTTAGGGATGAAGTATGAAAGGATGAATTGTGAAGAGTAATGATAAACGTAAAAATAAAATACAAGGTATGTCCCATAAGTTCCCGGACTGGGTCCATAAAAAAAAAGGTAAGATTTTTTTAAAATTTTTTTATTAAAACTTTTCAAAGTAATCCCCCCTTGCTTCAACGCACCAGCGCCATCGTTTCTCCCAATTGTCGAAACAGTTTTTATAAGCCTCTTTTGGAATGCTCTTCAATGCTAACGGCGATTTTTCTATTATGTCATCCCTGGTGTCAAAATGTCTTCCTTTTAGAACTGCTTTAAGTTTGGGGAACAGGAAAAAGTCATTTGGTGCGATGTCTGGGAAATAGGGTGGTTGAAGTAGGATTTGTGTCCCGTTTTTCGCCAAAAAGCTAGTCATCAAGTGCGCTGTGTGAGGGCGAGCATTGTCATGGTGTAGGATCCAGCCACCATTAGTCCATTTTTCTGGCATTTTTTTTTCGAATCGCTTCCCTTAGACGGCGAAGAATGCCCAAATACATTTCCTTAATAACTGTTTGGCCTGCAGGAAGATACTCGTGATGAACAATGCCCTTGTTATCCGAAAAAGCGACCAGCAACACCTTGTTTCTGGATTTTTTGGGTCTAGGCTCACCCTAACCTCTCCACTCGGCAGATTGAGGTTTGGTTTCAAGGTCATAGCCATAGACCCATGTCTCGTCGCCTGTGATTATCTTGTCTTTCCATTCTGGATCCGTTCTTATCATTTCCATCATGTCCTCACAGGTTCCAAGCCGACACAGTTTTTGCTCATTGGTGAGGAATCTTGGGATGAATTTTCCAGGAGTCTTTTTGAGCTTCAAATCTTCGGTTACGATCCTTCCAATCGTTGTTTTAGAGATGCCTGTGTCTTGCTCTAGCTCCAGCAAAGTGGTTCGAGGATTTTCTTTTATCAAATCGGTGATTTTTTGCACATTTTCATCAGTCCTTTGAAATTTTGGGCGTCCTTGACGAGAATCATCTTCAATGGAAATTCTGCCAGCTTTAAATCTAGAATGCCATTCAAAAACAGTTGTTCTCTTTGGGGCGTCATTGGGGAATGCTTTATTAAGCATTTCAAAAGTTTCGGTTGCTGATATTTGAAGTTTCACACAAAATTCTATGCAAATCCTCTGCTTCAATTTTTGTTCCATCGTAAAATCGCCGCAGCGCTAGGTGTGACCTTTAAATAAATTAGAATAACCTTGGCGCGCGCGCAAGTACCGCCTCGATATTGGTACCACCGTGTAGCCAGATATTTTTTCTATAATAAACAGTCAAATTCATTTACATTTTTCATTTATTTATTTTTTATGGACCCAGTCCGGGAACTTATGGGACATACCTTGTATCCAGGGATGGGAATCGAACCCTCAGTGTTCCGCTTACTGGGCAGATGCCATGTCCACTAGGCTACGATTCCCATCCCTGGACACTTTACTTTTCCGTTTTTCATTACTCTTCACAATTCATCCTTTCATACTTCATCCCTAAGGGTGGAAATGATCGTTATTTCTCCTTAAAATAAATTTTAATTTTTCGTTCAAAAGAAACACATGCGGGATAAATTTCAAATGTCGTTCTACAATGTATTTAATTCATAAGGAAGAGAAAGATAAAATGGAGGCAGAGAAGGGGCAGGAAGAAGACACAAAAGACCTCAGACAGAGGTATTGTGGCATCCTGAAGGAAGGATCTCTAATGATTATCCCCTGTCGTGAAGAAGACAAGGGTCCGATTGAGAGATAAGGTCAGGGGACTTTTTGTGGTCTTGTTAGGTATTTTGGTCGGTTGGGAGATACTGGCTAAACTGGGACTCAGGGGGATTTCTCAGAAGTGGCTCCGTTATCGACGGAACAGGAGAAGTTTGTTCTGAGAAAACTTTGTTCCGCACAGGTCATTTTTATTTAAGTTTTAACTTAGAAAAATGTTGACAGATATTCATATCTTCCATTGAATACATGATGACAATATTTTATATGATTGCAGGATCAAACTAGTGAATTTTGGGATGTGGCGATGTGAATATAGATATGTTTGTGTCCTGGGAAACAGCAAGTAATTAATGACACATTTGTATGTATAACAATTACAACAGTCCAAGTAAAACAATATGTCTCTAAAATGCCAGGTAAGATGGGGTGACGTCTCCACAACCAACCAAACAATAGAATGTTCCCTCCACAACAGTCCAAATACAACAATGGGTCTCTACAATGTCATAAAAGATGGGGTGACGCATCCACAACCAACCAAACAATAGAATATTTCCTCCACAACAGTCCAAATACAACAATGGGTCTCTACAATGCCAGGAAAGATGGGGTGACGTCTCCACAACCAACCAAACAAGAGAATGTTCCCTCCACAACAGTCCAAGTACAACAATGGGTCTCTACAATGCCAGGAAAGATGGGGTGACGTCTCCACAACCAACTAAACAAGAGAATGTTCCCTCCACAACAGTCCAAGTACAACAATGGGTCTCTACAATGCCAGGAAAGATGGGGTGACGTCTCCACAACCAACCAAACATTAGAATGTTCCCTCCACAACAGTCCAAGTACAACAATGGGTCCCTACAATGCCAGGAAAGATGGGGTGACGTCTCCACAACCAACCAAACAATAGAATGTTCCCTTCACAACAGTCCAAGTACAACAATAGGTCTCTACAATGCCAGGAAAGATGGGGTGACGTTCCAACAACCAACCAAACAATAGAATGTTCCCTCCACAACAGTCCAAGTACAACAATAGGTCTCTACAATGCCAGGAAAGATGGGGTAACGTTCTCCACAACAGTCCAAATACAACAATGGGTCTCTACAATGCCAGGAAAGATGGGGTAACGTTCTCCACAACAGTCCAAATACAACAATAGGTCTCTACAATGCCAGGAAAGATGGGGTAACGTTCTCCACAACAGTCCAAATACAACAATGGGTCTCTACAATGCCAGGAAAGATGGGGTAAAGTCTCCACAACAGTCCAAGTACAAAAATGGGTCACTACAATGCCAGGAAAGATGGAGTGACGTTCCTACAACCAACCAAACAATAGAATGTTCCTGGGCCCTTACAATGCCAAGAAAGATGAGGTGACGTCTCCACAACCAACCAAACAATAAAAATTTCCCTACAACAGTCCAAGTACAACAATGGGTCTCTACAATGCCAGGAAAGATGGGGTGACGTCTCCACAACCAACCAAACAATAGAATGTTCACTCCACAACAGTTCAAGTACAACAATGGGTCTCAACAATGCCAGTAAAGATGGGGTGACGTCTCCACAACAGTCCAAGTACAACAATGGGTCTCTACAATGCCAGGAAAGATGGGGTGACGTCTCCACAACAGTCCAAGTACAACAATGGGTCTCAATAATGACAGGAAAGATGGTAAAAGACTCCACAACAGTCCAAGTACAACAATGGGTCTCAACAATGCTAGGAAAGATGGGGTGACGTCTCCACAACAGCCCAAGTACAACAATAGGTCTCTACAATGCCAGGAAAGATGGGGTGACGTCTCCACAACAGTCCAAGTACAACAATAGGTCTCTACAATGCCAGGAAAGATGGGGTGACGTCTCCACAACAGTCCAAGTACAACAATAGGTCTCTACAATGCCAGGAAAGATGGGGTGACGTCTCCACAACAGTCCAAGTACAACAATGGGTCTCTACAATGCCAGGAAAGATGGGGTGACGTCTCCACAACAGTCCAAGTACAACAATAGGTCTCTACAATGCCAGGAAAGATGGGGTAACGTCTCCACAACAGCCCAAGTACAACAATAGGTCTCTACAATGCCAGGAAAGATGGGGTGACGTCTCCACAACAGTCCAAGTACAACAATGGGTCTCTACAATGCCAGGAAAGATGGGGTGACGTCTCCACAACAGTCCAAGTACAACAATGGATCTCTACAATGCCAGGAAAGATGGGGTGACGTCTTCACAACAGTCCAAGTACAACAATGGGTCTCAACAATGCCAGGAAAGATGGTAAAAGACTCCACAACAGTCCAAGTACAACAATGGATCTCTACAATGCCAGGAAAGATGGGGTGACGTCTCCACAACAGTCCAAGTACAACAATGGGTATCTACAATGCCAGGAAAGATGGTAAAAGACTCCACAACAGTCCAAGTACAACAATGAGTATCTACCATGCCAGGAAAGATGGTAAAAGACTCCACAACAGTCCAAGTACAACAATGGGTATCTACAATGCCAGGAAAGATGGTAAAAGACTCCACAACAGTCCAAGTACAACAATGGGTATCTACAATGCCAGGAAAGATGGGGTAACGTTCCCCACAAGCTATTTGTTCTGTGCCGGTATCAGATGCGATGTTGGCCCAGGCGTTTCAGGCTCAATTTACGGCGAGCCTTATCTTTGACAAGGTTCTAAATTACCGCCTCCCAAGACGGAGGTTCGTTGCTTCACAGAGTTCTTTTTTTTTTTTCTTTTTTTCTTGCAGAAGAACCTTCTTGTCGATACTTCTCATCATTACCCTACCTGCCTATGTAACGATCTTATGATGTAGATTACATCATAGCACGGTTCTCATTATAGTGAAAGAAAGGATTTGGAAATCAACAAAAAGAACTATTCAATAACCGATAATGGATGGTTCCTTTGCAAGTTAATACGAAAAATTATCACACTTAAGAACTAATTTTTAGAATTCGTCAAATGGGTTTTTAACTGGAAAAATAATATTGCCACGTGGAAAATTAGGAAAGATCAACTTCGGGATGAGACAACAATTTATTTCAGGCAAGAACAAACTAAGAATGATAAGCAAAAGAGGGAAGTTTACAGAGTATCAAAATATAAAAATAAAAAATGATACTCTGTTTATAAAATAAGACATACTTTGCGACAATATCGACGGCAATTTTTATGTTAATTTGTAAGTTTTATGTGGAACACTTCACGATTTTTCGTGTCATCTTTGCTTAGGGGCCATGCTGTAAGTTTGATGTAAATTTCTCTATGTAAATTTCGTAAAGAAAACTCAATCTTATTCCCCTCTATATAGGTATTATGCAGCTAAAGCCTCTAATTGTGTTTTATTCCTATTATTAAGATTGTAGCAGAAGATTTTTAACTCTTTCGTTATTTTATTTTCGATCTAAATATATTCATTGAAGTTTTTTTTAAAATAGTTTTTAAAGTTAGGAATTTAAATATATTTTCATATTTTTTTGCTGATCTAAACCAAAATAATATTTTCTAATATTTATATTCGTGTAAACTTGAAGATCGTTAAGTGTGTTGTGTGTTTTTTTCTATTTATCATTTATTAATCAACCAGACGCGATTTTGAAATATGTATTTGTGTCTATTACAGAAGAAACAAACAAATTGAAACTTAAAATTAAATATTTACACATTTACATGTAATATAATGCGGCTTGTGATTGTAAAACGACATTTGAAAATTATATCGCAAGTGTTTCTTTTCAACGGAAAATCAAAATTTTATTTTTCAAGGAGAAAGAACGAATATTTCTAACCTTATGATGAGGTATGAAAGGATGAATTGTGAAGAGTAATGATAAACGGAAAAATAAAAGTGTCCAGGGATGGGAATCGAACCCACACTAATGGACATGGCATCTGTCCGGTAAGCGGAACACTGTGGGTTCGATTCCCATCCCTGGACATTCTTATTTTTCCGTTTATCATTACTCTCCACAATTCATCCTTTCATACCTCATCATAAGGTTAGAAATATTCGTTATTTCTCCTTGAAAAATAAAATTTTGATTTTTCGTTGAAAAGAAACACTTGCGATATAATTTTCAAATGTCGTTTTACATTTACATGTATTAATCGACAGAGTTCATTAAATTTATATAAACAAAGTGACTGATGTAAGAAAGTTAAATCATTTAGATTAGGGAGCAAACGATGTCTCACTTCTGTTAAGTTCGGACAGTCGTAGATAAGGTGAAGAGCAGTTTGTTCAGTTTCTCCGCAGGAAAAATTACTGATAGACCTCTTTTATGTAAGAATTTCTGGAATTTTTACGTGTAATGTGACAAATTGAGTGAGTTGACAGAAAGAAAGAGTAGTTGTTCTTTAATACATAGTGATTATTTATATTGAATATATATAAACAGTATTTGAAGTTGAGTAAACATCGTGATTTCTAACAGAGAATATGGTGATATGCAGAGTATCCAAATATATTCTGTTACAACAGTTCTCCCACGCTTAATGGGGAATTATAGGTTTGGGAATTTATAATTCAGGTATCCTATCACTTTAGAGACAAAACAAGTTCATCATCTAAAAGAAATAATTCAAGAGGGGGGGAATTGAGATTGTGAAAATGTCTTTATTACATCGTTCATATTGCTGGGTAGATTGAGGAAGACAAACTGAAGATCGCCAAGAATACCTTGAGGTCAT